TAATTTTAATGATTTGTCATTTTGCCAAGACTTAATACAATTTATTTTTAGGAAAAATGACATTGTCAATTTAAAATGACATGTCATTTATGATCATTTTAATAAAAATTTTTATGACCTTGTCATTTGCCAACACTGGTTTGCTGTGCATCTGCATTGGGCACGGCTTTAGCTTCAGGCCACTTTGTCATATAATCCACAGCCACGATTATGTAACGATTGCCACTTGTCGTTTCTTTTAATGGTCCAACGAAGTCAATTTCAATTTTGTAGAATGGGGCTTCCACAGATATGGGTTGCAAAGGTTCTTTTACTCTATATTTGCCTCTTATCTGGTATTGATCGCATGTTCTTACATATTCTCTAACATGCTCATACATCTGCGGCCAGTAATATTTCTCACGAATTTTGTCAAACATCTTTTCAACTTCTACATGCGCATCTAAGAGATGGGTGTGCATGATGTATAAGATAGGGTCTATTTCTTCTGCCTTAATTACTCTAAGTAACTGATTTTTGGTTTTCTTTCGTCTATCTCTCTTATACAACAGATGGTTGTATAAAACATAGAATTTACTTTGGGACTCCAACTGTTTCTTTTGTTTGTTATTAAGTTGGAGCAGGTATTTCGCCTTTTCCAAATATTCTTTGATATGATTATATTTGTTAATTTCCATTTTTATCTATTATTTAACTTCTCTCTCTTTTTTTTTTTTTAAAAAAACTATAGTTAGGTTGTTCAGTAGCAGGGACCGACCTGCAAAGTTTTACGTCGTTTGGGGATGGGGAAGAAAAAAGATTTTGTTCAAACAAAGTAAATAGGGTTTGATACTTCCCACCAAACCGAATTACAAAGATAAGTATCTTTTAAGTTATTAAACTCCTCATAATGTCTCTTTGATGGAGTTTTCAATGGTTCTAACCACCAAGGGTGGTTTGTGAAATTGTCTTCACCTTTTTCAAATGGTCCTTTATTCTAAACCACCAGGTCTTCTAGGTGAGTCGGAGTTTCGTTTAGCCATTCATCCACTGTATAATTTATTCCTAGATTTGATTCTGAGAAGTCCACCATGGTTTCTTCTTCATCTTCAGTGTTAGGTGTTGCCTAATAACTTTTGGCAACTTCTTGGATGAAATAATTTTTAATTGTAATTCATAATCTTAGATCACTCTTGCACTTGGCACAATTATCTTCTGGTAAGTATAGTTTGTCACCGCATCAGCATTGTGTTTTGGGACCTTTCCAATTATATTCCCAATGTTTTCCTTTAGTTTTCTTACTTAACCTTCCACTTATATAGTACCAGGTACAATACTGATCATCGTACCTTATACCCATGAGTGTGAACTCCAATTGTTCATAGGGGTATATCCCATAAAGTGCATATTCAGGTGGGTTAGGTTTCAATGTATTTCTTATCTCTCTATATTTTCTTTGAGGTGGGCATTTGAAAACCTTATCATCCACCATTATTCTATTGTTTAGGTCCATGTTGTATTTCTTCTTTTTCATCATGCAGTCTTGATAATGCATCTGTATTATTATGTTTCTTCCTGGTGCGATGGATTATAGTAAAGTTGTAGGGTTCCAACCTTAAAATCTATTTAGCGTGTTTTCCTTTAAGTTCAGAAGTTCTTAACTATTGTAATGCTGAATGATCCGTTATAAGGAAAAATGGTTTAGAATCCAAATATTGATAGAAATGTTCTACAGCCCAAATAATGGCTAAACATTCCAACTCAGGTATTGAGTAATTTTTTTCATGCTTATTTAAACATCGGCTTGCATAGGCAATAACATGTTCTTTATTTTTTTCATCAAGCTGGGATAACACAGCTCCCAAACCTAGAGTTGAAGCATCCGTATGAAGATAAAATGGCTTATTAAAGTCTGGGTATTGCAGTATCAGCGCAGTTATAAGGTGATTTTTGAGTGTGTTAAATGTCTTATTTTGTTCTGTGTCCTACTTATAGGGCTCATTCCTTTGTAATAACTAATTCAAAGGTTTGGCTATCTTTGAAAATTCTTGTATAAACCTTCTATAATAGGACGCCAGTCCTATAAAGGCACATACTTGCCTAATTGTAGTTGTATTGAGAAGTTTTTGATCTTCTTTATCTTTTCTTCATCGGGTAAAATTCTTTCTTGCCCTATTATGTGACCTAGAAATTTTATTTGTTTTAAGCAAAATACACATTTTTCCGAATTACTTTTAGGTTGGCCTTTTCCAAACATTCAAGGACTTGCTGAAGATATAAAAGGTGGACCTCAAATGTCTTCGAATATATAGTGATATTGTCAAGATACACCACTATGAACTTGTTGATAAAAGGCCCTAACACGTGATCCATTAATCTCTAGAATGTGGAAGGTGCATTACACAACCCAAAAGGCATAACATTGAATTGGTATGTCCCGAATCTAGTTATAAAAGCAGTTTTCTTTTTGTCTTCTTCTCTAACTGCTACCTGCCAATATTTACTTGCCAGGTCAAGACTGGAAAACCATTTGGCACCATCAAAAACTAAAAGAATTTCCTGGATATTGGGTAAAGGATATACATTTTTTTTGGTTACTGTGTTTAACTTACGGTAATCGATACATATCCTTTTTTTGTTGTCTTTTTTAGATACAATTACCACCGGCGAAGCCCAAGGGCTTTGCACTTCTTCTATTATACCTTGCTCTTCCATTTTTTCTAATTCTTTTTGTAGGAATTCTTGTTCATCTGGGGCTATACTATAATGCCTTTGCTTGATGGGTCTAGCGTCCCTAGAATTTATTTCATGGCAAACTAAGTTAGTTTGATCTAAATCTACTGTTTGTCCACTCTTACTTATCTTCTGAGCAAAAGTATAGGACTTCTCTTGCAATAAGCCTTCAGCTTGGCTATATTGTTCTTTATTTAATTCTTTATTTATGTTAAATTTAATTTTAACTTGTTCTTCTTCTATTATATTAGTTAGGTACATCGCTGGGTTTTCTTGTATTCACAGGTTATAAAAGGGGTTATCTTCTTCTGATTCAATAGTGTCAGAATAAAAGACTTCTTGGATTTCATCTTCATCACCTTCAAGTTTGTCAATCCATTTGTTTTCATCAGTGAATTTTTCAAACTCTTGAGGTGGAGTTTGATTAATAATATGTGTAGCATTAACAGTTACTTGCTTATTCAAGTATTTAACGCATAAGGTATTCTTTTCAAAATTCAATTTGGCTTTTGACTTATCAAACCAATCTGTTCCTAATAACAGGGTCTCTTCTTGTGACTCTATTACTTGTAGGTCAATCGGGATGATTATATTTTGTAGTGTTATCTTTATACTACTTACAATTCCAAGGGCCTTAACCCTATTCTTATTTGCCATTGTAACTATTGTCTTTGAAGGTTTATCTACTTTTAATTTTAATTTTTCTATTAGCCTTCTAGTAATTATACTTATAGCTGCTCCAGAGTCAAGAATAGCGACTACTGGTATTCTCTTAATACAAATATAGCATCGTATTGCTATTGTTTTTCATGGATTATCTGAAGTTATATGATTAGCTTCATTTTTTTGATCCTTTTTCCTTCTCAATGCTTTGGCTAGGTTTCGTTTTTGGTTAGGATATTTAAGTAATTGACCATAATTAGCTTGTGCGCTTGTGGCTAACAAGTCTTCAGATATATCATAAAGCTTTAGCTTATCAACTTCTAATGGCAATCGTTTTTTAACAATTCTCTTAGGCTTATCCACCTCCATCGGAACTTCCTCTTCTGGCTCGGGATCTGATTGCACTTGAACCTTAGGTGCCTTTTTAAGCAAGGCTTGTTCTTTCTTTGATTTGCTTTGCTTTTGTTTTTCTTTTTGCTCCTTCCTATTGGTACTATAGGGTTGAGGGCAAATGACATATAACTCATCGTCACTATCACTACTTTTTTCTGTGATGGCTAAGTTAATATCAATGGATTTATCTTTCTTTCCATTATCCTTAGGTTTCTTTTCTATCTTATATTGTGGCTCTATTACTACTGCTTTTTCTGAGAGGCAATTCTTAGCAAAATGGCCAAGTTCACCACACTTGAAGCACGTAATGTCCTTTATTTCACACTTCTTAGGCTGTTGGGGTGATTTTTTCTCTGTTTGAGCTACTAATGCTGATGCTATTGTGGCATAATTTAAGCTCATTTGCTGCATCTGTTTTGTAAGTTGCTCAATTTCCTTTTCATAATTCTTACTTGCTGTAGGTTGACTTGGCAAATTTGATAATGACTTCTACAGTAGTTGGCTTATGAAGCATTATCATAGGTAAGAGTTCCGGACACAGCCCTTTTTTGAAGTAATATAAAGCCTAATCATTCTCTACTTTCATTTCTATTTTAACCCGTTTGAGTAACCGCATGGATTTTCTATTATATAGATTTACCTATTTGCTGTTTAAGATTATTTAATTCGTTTAGCCAATAGGTTTGCCAACGAGTAGTACAAAAATATGTCTTATATTCTTTGGCAAGAGCTTTCCAGTCATCTTCATCAAAATTCGTGATTCCAGCTTTTTTATAGTAAGCTTCCTGGCATTCATCCGCAATTTTCAACATAAATGCCGAGAGAACTTGTAACATTCTTTTAAAACTCCAATTATTTACAGCCACGGCTTTCTCAAACCTTTCTAGCCATGCCAACGGGTCTTGGGAACCATTTTCTAAAAAAGGTTCAACACGTACCAAGATAGATTCTTTGGTGTTTTCCTTGAGAAAATTCAAGATATCCGCATTTGAAGTCATGTTAGTTCGCTTAGGGCTAGAAGTAAGAAGAGCAAATGGATCGGTTTTAAGCACTGGGTATGTAAGACAACGTTGGTGATAACTTTAATTATCTCTATTAAATTTCCTGGCATTTTAGTATACACTATACTAAAAATTAATTTCACAATCGTATTTCGGCAACACAAGGATTGAGGTTGCTGATAATCAACTTCTAGGTCATTAAAGTACTCTAATCTTTTCTTCGTGAATACTTCCGCCGAATAAGTAAGGGAATACCAATTTATAAATTGGTTAAAGGTTTGGGAAATCTTCTTTGAAAGCTGATAACAAAGGTCACAGGAGTCTTTTTTGTTACTCTTATGTAACGTTAGATGGTTTATTACTCTGGTGTCTCCTTTAAAGTAAAACTCATGCACTAAATCTGTGCAACTTCCTTTCTCTTATTTTCTGAATTGGATGACTTAGAGAATTCTTATTTCACAGTCACCACCAAAATGTCAACACTAAACCCACCTCTAATCGGGTTCAGGTAACGAAGCATCCAGAGTATGAAGACTCTAAACACTAGATTCGGACGAAGCAATAAGGGACGTTGAAACTATCAATGTTCCTATAGAGGTTTTAGAATAAGGCTTTGAAAGAGGCTAGCAACTCTAGGGTATATGAAAATACCAAAGGGTTGTATAATTTTAGTAACTAACACAATACAACCTTGTGTTCTTTCGCTTTGTCACGTGTTCACGTGATAACTACAGTTTCTCTTTAATTTTATTTTAGGCTTCAATTGGACATGTATGAAGACACAATCCGGCTTTATTAAGTAAAGAATAAATTAAAGAATATAAAAGAGATGGATAAATGAGAATTCGAACTATCTAAACTATTACTCAAGGTATCCAAGTCTAAAGATAAAGCCAGAGAGAACTCGAAGGCCTTATATACATGTTTTGAAACTAAGCTAAGCAACGCTAATTTACTTCCCTTCCATACTAAGTTGATCCTAATAATTATTTAATAATGACTAATTATCGATCCTTTAATTAGTACGAAGCAATATTTTTAGAACGCGATCCTATATAACGCGTTTATAGGTTAGTATCTCGTAGATCAGTGGATCCCTTGATCCACGTCGAGGTTACAGGTATCAGGTTCATTTACTGCGGTTTGATTTCCGTGTGACACTCAGTGAGACCTCGATATCCCGGAATTATCCGATAGGACTGACGACTGCCAACCCAATTTTCTAATTCCTTATTATGCGTAGCCTTAAAATTGAACATGATACTATTAATTTAAAGTAGAATTTTTTTAAAAAAAATCCGACCGACTGAACCAATTTTTAGATTCCATGAAATGTAAAACGAAAAATTAACTTTGCGTGACCTTAGGATCGTCGCTACGCTCCAGAAAATAATAAAAAAATTATTATCCAAAATTTGTAAATTATGCAATGTCTATGTTTCGGGTCAAGTTGGGTTAAACTTGACCCGGACCAAAATGTCCCCAGCAGAATTTTAGGGTTAGTCCGGGCCAGAATTATGTGATGCCGGCCAGGTTTTTTAATTTATTAATTTGACTCGGCCAAGTTTAACTCAACCTAAAAACCAACTTGACTTGTAACATCTACGTAATATCTAACTGTAATTACAGTACAATCTTATAATTCAAAAACAAGGTTCAAGAATTTATTGAAGGCGTTTGTTTTATATTATTTATTTATACTTTATTTTGCTATATTAGAGGT